TTATTTAATGATATCATTGTTTCTGTGTGTGAGTCATAAGCGGTGTCGTAAATGCTGTTTGCTGATTTCTCTACAAGTCATATGAGCACCAAAGGCGATGAACCATCAGTGGCCGTCCAAAATAAGCTGTTACGTATGAAAACAAAAAAATTTCCAAAATTATTTTCAATGATCATAAAATATGTCACAGTGAAAATTACGGCAAAATCGCATCAATTTAGCTTCGAATACACAAATATAGTTTGAATCAGGGTTCAATGCCTCTGGCCTCCAGAGAATGGTAAAAAATTAGCGACAATGATGTATGATACCAAAATACCGTATCATCGTTTTTTATTATACTTATGTGTGTGGTTGAAATTCAACTACAAGATTTATGCTTGTATTTGCTGAGTAAATTGAATGCGTTATAAGCAACCTGGAGGTTCTGGGTTCGAATTCAAGCCAAATTAAAATGTAAATAAATAAAATCTTTCTTATAGCAATAAGCAATTTAAATTTTATATTCAAAAATAATCGGTCGTCCATACGTTGTTTAATATTGAGACACACACACCTTAAAAAGGAGAATGAGTTAAGGCAAGTAACTAGCTGAGGTGTAAGTAAAAAACTGTTGTTTTAATTATAACTAATATTTGAAATATAACAAAAGGCTTCAAGGCTTCAGTTCAAGCAAGACGAAATTATGTGATGTGTTCGTTCCAACAATTTCGATCTTGTCCAATTAGAACTCATGCGGTGCGGCTTAGAATACTACCCGATGCTAGTTGTCAAAGCTGTATGGAGGAGGGTGAGGTGGAAACATACCGGCACTTTTTCCTCCACTGTCCCGCTTTTGTTAGGCTGAGACTGAAACATCACGGCAATCACACTTTCGGCGGACCAGAAGATTTGGCCGAAATAAATATTGGCCGTCTCAACAAGTTTGTCATAGGCACAAAGCGCTTCGTCGGCATGTAAGGGTCTATTGATCCAGTTCATAGGAGTTTTGGGTAGCACAATGGATCGGTTCGACCCTCTAACCTAACTTTACTTAACCTTATTTCGGTCTTGAGGGTAAATCACGTCCTGGAAGGACAGTTTCTTGAAGCTAACTGGTCGCTAACCTCGAAAAACGGAGAAATTAATTTTCTATTGTACTCATGAATTAATCTCCTGGGAAAAATTGGTTTAGTACAATAAGCAGAAAAAAATACTTTTTGCTCTATAGTGCAATATATATATTCATATTTGTGCTATGCAATAATATTTCCAAAATAAGTGGGCACCCACATCACCGTAATCGACAAAACCGAAAATGCCACATTTACACGGCATTAACCACTTGTAAGTGACTAAACTTTGACTTGATGTATGCATTTGTATACAAATTGTTGCAGCAACATTCTCACATTGCAACCGCATGCCAGAGTATACTAGTATCTGATGACTAGTTTAGTAACAATGCCACATGGCAAATGCTTGCAACAATTAAATGCGCTGTCAATGCTCAATAATTTGCCAATGAGCGAAAAAATTCAAAACCCTATTCAGTTGTCAAATATCGTAAGCACAAGCTCTGAAAAAGCAACAAACACAGCGTCAAAGCGTCAATGGCAAATGCCGAGAATAAACAGTTGCAAACCGGCACACACACATGTCAGTTAAATATGTGTGTGATATATAGTTGTAGGCACAAAGGCACAATCAGAGCGCAATTATCGCGACAAGCAAAAACAACAAAGCGCAACTATGTGGCGTTGCCAACCGGCAGCCGGCTGCCCGTGCGCTAGTGGTGGTGGCAGCAAGTTCGTGAGCAGAGCAGGCAATTGTTGCTGACAGCTAAGTGCTGCGCGCACACTAATATGGCACCGTAAATGCAATTAAACAACCAAACAACAATAGCAACAAGCACAAGAGCTGCCACGATGGTCAATGCAACAATGGCAGCAGCGGCGGCGGTAACAACAGCGGCAGCAAGTCATTTGGTAAATGTGTAGAGCTCAAATATGCCGCCAACGTGGTACAACAAAGCGGTGTGAGTTAGCAAATGTTTTTGTTGTTGTTGTTGGTACAACGAATATTGTTGTTGTTGTTGTTTTCATGTTGCTGTCGTTACATTGCCATAGCAAAGCTACCAAAAGTGGGCAACGACGGAAAATGTTGCGTCGCCGCCTAGCCGGCAATTGGGCAGCGGCAAAAAAAAAACAACAACAACAAACCATAAATATACAATAATAAACAGAAAAAGGTTAAAATATCGACATCGAGGAAACAAGATAAGCGCTGCTTTGCAACAACCATTATGCATATGCATGTATGTATGTAAGTATGCAGTAGTGCTTACCTTGTATGTCAGTACACATGACTGCGGCATGCCACCAACGACAATCACTTCGGCATTGTCAATAGCGCATATTCGGAAGGAATTAATTAATTGTCAGTGACGTCATGGCAGCCATACTTAGTCGTGTGGCGTCATTGTTGCTGACAATGTTGTGCCGACGCTTGTGAAGCTGGCAGATTGCGTGCAACACATATTCGTATTACAGTGGTTAAGATGAAGAAGTCATTGCCTAAACAGTTTGATTGACTAATGGACAAATTATCTATACATTTTTTGTAATTATTTGAAAACAAAAATCTATGAAATATTTTGAATTATACATATAGTGAACAAAAGAACGTGTACTTTTGAGCTTTTTGGTTTTTTCACTTCTGCAAGTTAATATCCTTTATATTTGCAATGAGATATTTCTGTCATAGCTCATAGTTTGATTTGTTGATAGAATTTTTTTTTAACTTGAGGTTTTACTAAAAGAACGTTTTGAATAATATGACGATAGCTTTCAGGTAGCAGACAGGTGGCAGCAGGTGACCACAGCCATGCCTACCACACCTATAACGCTACTCTAACTTCAGTTTATACTATCTGATCGAAATTGATTTGGACTGGTCCATTTTAACTGCGCGCTTAAACTAAAATGACAATTACTTTTTTCTGGATAGGTATAACTTTTTTTTATGTTCGTGTGAAGTTTGATCTTCATAATTAATGTGTGTTTGGCAGTTATTTGTTACGAAGTTTGGCGATTTTTACGATGAAAAAAAAATGAACAACTAGTTTGCTTGTAACATTGAAAATGTTGCAGAAGTTTTTTGGAGAGTCTACTTTGTCACGAACTTAAATATTTAAGTGGCATAAGATATTCAGTGGAGGTCTTGAAGTCACTTATCTTACGCGAAATAAAAAAAAAAACATCTTCAAAAATAGACAAAACCGGAAATCGCCTAATCGAGATTTTTCATACATTTGCGTCCATTTAATATGGGTGAAGTTTGAATTTCTAAAGTAATCTGGAATTATTTAAGCAACACAACATTCTTCAATGCGATAAATATGCGATGAGTTTCCATTAGTCAACTCTAAACTACCATACAACTCGGCAGGTGGCGCTGTTGTTGGAATATTTAGAAATCGTCAGTAAGATGTTGGAGCTATTTCTTTTCTTTATATTTCTTCGAATAAAACGAAAAACGGTATAAATCACTTTTGAAGATAATTTATTAGATTATTAAAATTCAGCTCAGTGATTTAATTTTTTAATGTTTAATTTGAACAAGCAAGCTTTAGAGTTTGTGCTCGAACTGAAACTTCGGATAATGGTTATATTTTACGAAACGGATTACATTCAGTTTTTATAGCGATGCAATAAATATCGCGATACCTTCATTTACAATTTCAACACCTTATTGAGCTCAAAAACGAGTTGATCGCAAATCCACTAATTAATTGATCGTTTTAATGTCACATTACGTTAGCTAATTACTTGTCAGCTTCGTTTTGCTGTATATTCCATAACCTGACTGCCATTTTGCTGCGGGCAATGCACCGTTATCATAACTAATGACTTGGCATTTAATCATACAGTTGTGGGCCACATTACGACCACAGTTGTATTGTCAATAACGGAGTATTAGAGATGCAGGAAGGCGCGGCTTAGGTAGTATTTAAATTATTTGAACTGATTTTGGCGCCTTGCCACAAAGGTACCGCAAGGTTAATTCGAATCTTAACAAATGTGGGTGTGTTGAATTGCGTGTCACGTTGGCATGTGCCACCTACAAGTGTGAACACCATAAAGAATATAATATACTTATATAGTTACATGTGTCTATATATACATATATATGTACCTATGTAAGTACTTATGTAAATGTAGAATATTTGCTTGGAGTAATTTGCATTTTTATTCACCGCTTGGCGTCTATAATTAATTCATGCTTGTCACTTTGAAAAATTAGTGGATATTACCGTTATTCGTGGCTTCACACATTTTAATTGGCTCATAGTTTATTGTCGCCGTGCGTTGACGGTTTTAATGTTATTGTTGAGTTTGGCATAGCTTGAACTCGTAGATAAACGAGCGTTATTCAACACGTTGCTAAATTTATGGTTCATTGTTGTAAAATATTGTCTCGCTATTTGCATACCAATAATGTACTGGTATGTTACACATTTGTTTATACCAGTATACATGTAGATCGGGTGCTTAATAAGGCATTTAAAAACATGTACACGTTCCTATTATATGGATAGTTATTTGATATCATTGACACTTGGTTGGCTATAAAAAGAGTTTAATTAAATGCAATTTAACGGTGGTTACTGTTGCAAATCAATTATACGAGAAACTGCAACTTATTTACATTTTATAAGAAGTTATTATAACTACCTGCTTTCGATTCGCTAAGCTTTAGAGAGTAGCGAATCGCACACACCAAAGCAGCTGTTCAAATGAAATGGCAATACTTACGATGCAATATTGCACTAATATTCTTTCTTACAACTACGCGTATGCGTATCTTTTCTCTCTTTGGGAAAAAATTATTTTTTTCCGCACTATGTAAATTCTTATTAACTCTTTCTTTTTCTGCTATATGAAAAATTGTATTTTAATTCAATTCTCAAATTATTACAATCGATAAATAAATAATTTTAGTTTAATAATTTTAAATTTATGCTATGATAAATGCTCCAAGTGCTTTCTCAACTCGGCTCGTCATCATTTCTGTTTCTATGCCGTATAATAGGACGGCAATGATGTGAGACTTACAGGGCGAAATTTTTGTTCATCGAGAGAGGGATCTGCTTCTGAATTGCCTACCGACCCCATGCGCTTGATCTCCAAGCTTAAATTGTTGGTGGTATTAATGTTGGTTTCGAGACAGATACTTTCAATTTTTAAAATTTGCTCTCTTGTTAAAACTTACGATGTCAATATCATCTGCGTACTCCAGTTGGATTATCCTTTTAGAGAAAACAATGCCTCTGCGATACAGATTAGCGACGGGTATCACTTTTTGCAGCATTTAAAAAAAGATAGCACGAGAGTAAATTACCCCGTCAAAAACCTCTTCTTTTTTCGAACGGCTCGTAAAGGTCTCTCTCGATTTTGGTGCAGCTGATGGTTGTGCTCAACGCCATTCTGCATTCTAGGTTTCGCATAGCATAACTTATCTAAAACAAAACTTGGAAGCATTAAAAAAAGAGACTACATCAGCTTAAAGAGGTATCCGCATATTCTCTTTTATCAAACCCAATACGTTAACTAGAGAGAAAAATGCATAGCGTTGCCATGAGAGGACGCCAGAGAATTAAATAGTAATATTAAAACCAATCTTTAAAATGAATTTGAAGTCTGGGAACTCATTCCTTTACTAGAATTTTCTATATCTCATAACCCTTCAAATGTTCTTTTGAAATATCTTTAACTAAACTCAGTTTTCAAGCTACTCCTAAATATTAAAAAATAATTGAGTAATCAAATCCCAAGATCGAGTTTGCGGTCTCTGCCTAGTTAAAGAATTTTGTTGATTCTGTAACCATATAGTTTCTGTTCAACTAATCCTCTTTTATTTTGGCTTGAACTTCTACCGCAACTTCTTTGCTGAGAAATAGTAGATCCATATCTTATTGATGACGCTAAATAGTGTTAAAAACCTGGTCGTTGCTCCAAGACTGCTTCAAATAGTAAATATTCCGTTATCAATTTTAAAAATTTTTTTTCCATTTGAAACTTCAGAGACTCAAATGTCTTTAAAAGAGATGCTTTTTTCATACTTGTTCACTGCATACGTAGAAATCATTGAGTTAAACATTTATTTGCTTCGAAATTACATTTATTGTATTCCCAGTGTAATTGAAATCCCATTTAAGCAATAACAAACAATCTACTCATAATCCAATAGATCATGCTTGCTCTGACGCTTCCAATTCAATGGAAATAAACGCTTCCACACTTCATAGCGATGCGTATTGAGACCCTCGCGCAGTACAATTTCCTCACCAATATCCAAATAGTGCTGACGCTTGAAACTGAAAGCGCGCCAACGTATATCGCGCAACTTTTCGTCACTTTGCTTGTTGGGATCGCTAACAAAACATATGGATAATATTATCTTTGAACAAATTTTGAACAAATTCGTATTGACACACCCTTTATAAGCGAATGCTGTGAACATTCTCGTTAGCTTATCAACAATTTGGTATTCTCGATCGTCCTCAGTGAACATGCGGCTAACAGATGGTTCCACAAATAAATACATCAGATCATCATGATGTACAACACCTAGAAAGAAGAAGAAGAACTCATTATGTAACACATTAAAATTTACTTCTTTTTTACATACCAAAGGGTTTATTAGTTGGATAATAAATATGGCTGCGTTGCCCCTGAAAGCTGAAACGATAGTAGTAGACTTTGGTCAAACGCGCCGCCAAATGTACAAAGCGATGGACGCCGAAACCCGTTAGAGCATCGGAGAAGAGCTGTAATATAATTTTTTTTCAAAATACCAAATACTTCACATAAGCTCAATTAAACATACCTCGACCATTGGTTGTAATGTACCGGCATACTCCAAGGACTCTCTGCCAAAATAAGCGTTCTTTAACTCCATACTAATATTCTGCGAACGAGGACTATTAGCGCTATATAGAAAACAAATCGGTGCTATTTGTTCAAAGTTGTGTGCTAACGTCTTCAGCAGACGTGAACTCTCAAGAATTGCTAAAAAAAGTATGGAAATAAATTAAATGATAATTGCTTGAAAGCCTACACACATATTGCCTGTCCAGCGAACTCATCTTTTGTCATGCCGGTTATGATGGGTATTTTCATGAAGTTGCCATTCTGGTAGGATCTTACTGGATCTTCTATCAGAAATCGTTCCTGACCATAATCGGGTTCTATAACGGGTTTCCATAATATCAACGGATTGTTGCGTCCGAACTCGAACATATGCGGTAAAGTGTTGGCATATTCCAGATAATGTTTCTAGAAATGTATTTTTTTTAATTTCAAGTTTTCTCGAAATTAAAACCGTTACTCTCACTCACCGAATTCAAACAACTCATCATATCCGATAAATTCTCGGTGGTACAATGCAACAAAGCCGCTTGACGTACAGCCAAGTTCAATTGTTCGACCGGTAAGGGCCACTGTCCCGTGGCCGAACCACTCATAATGATTGCTTTGTGAAAAAGATTTTTCGACATCGGCGAAACCATATGCAGTGTAATACTTATAGCGCCAGCGCCATAGCCCAATAGAGTCACAGAGTTGGGATCGCCACCGAAGCGTGATATATGTAATTTTACCCAACGCAGTAGCATCACCTGATCCTTCAGACCCATGTTGCCCAACGCCTCTTCAGTGCCGGTGCTCATGAAACCAAGCGAACCCAGTCGATAGTTGAATGTAACTAATAAAATATTACGGTCCATAAAATATTGTGGTCCGGCAAAGTTTTTACTCTGTCCAGAAAGCGCATAAAAACCGCCCGGATGTATAAATACAATAACCGGCTTCTTCACATTCGGTTCCTTCTCTGTGGGCAAATCACGTGTGTAGATGTTGACACGTAAACAATCCTCTGAAACATCGTCGCTGTAAAGACCCGGCTGCGGACAACGTGGTCCATCGAAGGTCGCATCGAAGATGTCAAACCACTGATCTACAGGCTCCGGCGGTTTAAAGCGCAAAGCACCCACGGGCGGCTTGGCGTAGGGTATGCCACGAAATGCATAAAAATTCCGACCGACTTGCGAGGGCAACAATGTACCACGTATTTTACCCAATGCAGTGGTCAAAACCATGTCCGATAGCTCTCGGTCGAGTCCCTCTGCTGTGTTGTTATCTTCACCATTGGTGCCACTTGCAAGCACCAGCACTGCGATCAAGCAGAACGCCGTCACTTTGCGCAGGCAATGTAAAATCCACATTGCAACGCTTTGGAAAGTTCCACAAAACTGTGTCCCATCCGTGGCAATGTGCCCCTTTTATAGGTGCAGCCGCTGGTGGGCATTTGATTTCGTTGCACATTCAAAATTGATTATCATTGCCAATTGCGTGGGTGAAATTTTACAAATGATCTGCACCATCCAGAGAATGTCCGTTGACCACACGCATGCGCTCAGCGATTGGGAGTGTTCTAATGGCACAGCGCATTCTTTGCGGCGAATGTGGCAATGCCAGTTCTTAGTAATGCTTTTGCATGCCGGAAGAGGAGTCACGTACGACTGTTGTTGAATTAATGAAATCGCCATTAACCGGGTCAACCGAGCACATTTGCAATTGGGACTTGGGTGTAAGGCGGTTAGCAACAAGTATAACTGTGTATAGTATAAGTTGGTACGCGATTGAGAAATTGTTGGTTTGTTCTTTGAATGTTACAAAAAGTTGGAAATTGGAACAGTATTTAATTTATCCTGGCAACTGGAGATTTCTGTTTTGGAAGTCTTCTTCTTGCATTTTCACATAGGTTGCAATATCTACGCGATATATAGGAAGCTTATTCAAATCGATTAGGGGTTCAAATGACTGAAGTTATTACTAAAGTGTTGGCGGCTGAAATTTTGGATTTGGAATCGTTGTATCGATTTATACACCTCTCGGGTCAATTAGTTTAAGGGGGTCGTCTGCCTTCGTGCACAAAAAGTTTGGTTTGGGTCGCCAAAGATTTAAATTTCTATTTATCGGAACTTAACCCCCGCATACCATACATATGTCCTGCGGATCTCCGCTTAACTCTAGCGATTTTTTTAATCTATTAAGCAAACTCAAAAAGTAACAGCGGAGATGTCGTTTTGACGCGATTGAGCAGATAAAGATCGAATAGAAGAAGATTTTGAAAGCTATACCGGAAAAATACTATTCCGACGGTTTCGAGAACTGGAAAAAGCGTTGGCAGAAGTACGCTTTATAGAACAGGGATGAAACTTTTTTGGAAGAGTTAATAAAGAATTTACATTTTATAAACAAATTCACCTACTTTTTTGAACACAGTAGTATCGTTTTGTTGAAGCAACACGTTTTTATACCCTGAACAGCGTATATAAGTTTGCTACGAAGTTTGTAACACCCAGAAGCAAACGTGAGTCGCAAACTAGTCCCTTAGTTTTTGAGATATCGACCAGAAATTTTGCACACGTCCTTTTCTCACCAAGACGCTGCACATTTGTCGAAACCGCCGATATCGGACGACTATATATATGCTGTCATACAAACTGAACGATCGGAATCAAGCGCTTGCATGGAAATCTTTTTCATGTAACTAGTTATCTTCAAGAAATTTGGCATGGTTTACTGTATAAGGTAATAATGTAATCTCCCAAGACATTGTTTACATCAGATCACTATAGCATATATCTGCCATATAAACTGAACGATCGGAATCAAGGGCTTATATGAAAAGCTTTTTCATTTGAGGAGATATCTTCAAGAAATTCGGCATGGATTATAATCAGAGACAATTGTGCAATATCCAAAGAAATTGTTAAGATCGGACCACTTTAACTTATAGCTGTCATACAAACTGAACGATAAAAATCAAGATAAAGATATTTTTATACTCCTCTATGTTTTAAAAAATACACCTGTGAAGGGTATTATGGCTTCGGTGCAGCCGAAGTTAACGCTTTTTCTTGTTATAATTATCGTTAGAAGACTAGCGAGAATCATTCTTCATTTAAGCTTCGAAGAAAAAAATAGATTTCTGTTCTTAATATATTGCTGAGGTTGAATAATATCATTTAGCAAAACATCCCATAGATCCATTGGCTCATTAATCATAATTAGCTGAATTAAAGTTTAAAGTCAAAATTAAGGTGGCTTTATGTTAAATAACGGATATCCTTCCTAGAACTCCAAACCAAAAACACTTATTTAAGCTTATCAATATATATGTACATATATATACCTAATGTGTTCAATCCAAAATAACGAAAGGTCAAAAAAGTGTCGAAATTAAACTTAAATTTCCACCCTTTTGATGTTCTTTCGCTTCTTTATTTTCCTTTTGGTGTTTTTAACGAAAATGAAGAGGCGGCATTATCTGCTTAATCAAAAGGACAACCGAACTGCGCTTCTTAAATCTTAAATATACACCAATTTAGTGTGAAATCCGACAAATCAAGTCTGGTAAATTATGCGTCAATTGTTTGCAGGCAAAACCTAAAGAATACACTTAAGAATATTAGGGATATAAGGAGATAAGAAAAGAAACAAGCTTTTGTGCTTTGAAGAATAAAAGTGTGCAATTTTTTTCTTAATAAAAATAAAATGCAATAACAAAGCAGACAACCTATTCAAAGAGCTTTTATCTTTGTATAGGACCCAACATAAATTGAGGTTTTCAACATTCATATAATTCAACAGTAGAATGAGCTTCGATTATAGGAATCGTTGTTTCATTGTGTTTTAAGGAGCTACAAGTGTTTTGAATGGAAGTTTAACACTTTAGTTCCGAGAAACAATATATGTGTTTGCCTAATTATTAGCTTGTATGAGATTTTTTTAGGACGGCGCAACACTTAAACTCGTTGTCACAGTGGGGTAATGTGCAACTTTCAAACAAATATTCATGGAACGTTTGATTTAGCATTAGATCAACTGTGCATTGTTTTGTTCGTTTATTGTCTTTTGAAGGTATTTTCAGAATGCCATTCTCACAGAAACCCTCGTCTCTATTGACAAAAAAAACCTGGAAGTATATTTTTCAAATATTAAAATTCAAAAATTTTCGTCAAAGACAGTTGAGTTGTGGAAATGGATCGATGGGAAACACCAAGCTAGGCAATATTAGGTATAATTATCTCTTATATTAGGTATAATTATCTCTTATATATAATTATCTAAATTAATTTCCGATTTGATTGAAAGCATTTTAAAGCTAAGCTAATTTGTATTTATTGCGGAAAACCTTGGGAATTACAGCTAACTTCACTTTATTCCCAGGGTCGATATACTTATATTCTGATTAAACTATCACCGATGTTAGAACAAAAATTAAATTTGAATAGGGGAACAGAATAAGTTGAAGCAATCGACATTACTTTGGGTTTCTATAGAGCGTGAAAGCTTGGTTAAAGTAACACACTTGGGAACGTAATCGGGCAGTGAGGCCTTGGTACTTGTCGAATCTCCCTCATATATTTTTCAGATGTTTCTAGGAGTTCCTTAATCATGCGCATATAAAATGGATTTAATCTCCATTAATGTTTCGAGGAAATCGCTGACAGTTTCAGATTTTTATCAAATTAAACTGAACCTCCAACTGGCATTACTAAGGACCGGTAGGTCTTTATACGGCGTGAGAGATGGCCAATACAAGTATAACCCAAACTAAGCTAACCTTAAGCTATGATTGGGAGCCGAAACAACATTTTGTACCGTGGAGGTCACAAGCTCAAGCTGTTTGACTAAGGCAGCCTCAGTTGACAGCTTTAGTAAATAGCAATAATAACAAAAACAAACACCGACAAGAATTGTCCCACTGTACATATTTAGTGTTGGCATTTTGCAGTGCAAACAAGACAAACGACCAGCGATATTTATAGGTATGTTCAAGGGAAATGATGACGATGATTATTTCTGCGCTTTGAGCCCCATAATTTACAAAAGCACAACAATTCTTCATGCGCGCGCAGATGAATAAGGATAATTGCAGGACTGAGAAGGTGTGACGACTTCGCCGCGTCTTGAATGTGCGCTCGCATGTAACTGTGAATGCGATTGCGATAATCCTGCGCTGCACAGATCCAGCGAGTGTTCAATGGCTGGCACTGGACTGTGGGCGTTCTGCTGCCATATGTTGTGGTGTGCGCGTAAATTGCTGGCGTAAAACATGAAAAATAACAAAAATTTGCGATTAAAGGCACGAGCTTACGAATCTGAGGATAATCATTAAATATTTGACAAATTGCTTGTCGTTTCGCGCTGCCTCGCTGCTGTGAAGCCGAATTGGCATAACAATGTGAAAAATTTAATCATTTATTTCGCACATTTTTGTTGTTTTTGTTTTGGGTGCACGCATGCGCTGTGTATGTAATTACTGTCAAGGCAGGTGTTGCCACCGCAATTACAACAAGCAACAGCGGCGGCAGCGAGTGGCAGCACAAGAGGCAGCGACAGCATTGTGGTCACACATTTTCAACATTTCCGATTCATATCGAAACGCTTAATTGAATCATGCAATAAGCGGGCAATGCCAACAACGGCGCAACTATATTTGCAATGCAATTGAGTAGCAAAATGCATAAACACGCTTACATACATACACTGTGTAACGGACAATTGATTGCGTTAGCAACAACAGTCTTGAAACTGAGCAACGGGGCAGTGACAAGCGTTCTGACACACCTCCCAATAGAATTTTATACCGCAATCAGCTTACGTTGCCAACAACAACAATAACTACAGCAACAGCAGCAATTATTTTGCTGGTGAAACAGATATATTTACAGTTGCGATTGCTGATAGTTAAGCGGTTTGCGCAAACAAATCGCACGATTGACAGGGAAAATTCTATTAAAGCGCGCGAGCGAGTGGACGGACGTACAAGCGGGCAGTGCTGTGATTCATATCGTTGCAATAAAGGCGTGGCGCAAGAAAATACCAACAATTGGAGAGCGAATTGCGGCACAACAATAACCGTAAATGCTTAGCTATCCTGACAGCAGCACCAAAACAACAACAAACAATAACAACATTATGCATAGGGTATCGCACCAACAATTCTGGTGGACAAAACAGCATTTAAATCACTGTCAAACGGTTGCAAATGTTTTCAACAAATGCCAACTGAGCAACACTTTTGCTATGCCTTCAAGCACAAGACTCTGCTTTGTTTTGCATTTAATAATTTTTGCTGTAAAGTCCAAACACGCACACATATGCATGGATGTGTGTACTTATGATTGCATATGCTCGCTTGCCCCACATTGTGACTTGCCACAAT